TCAGATGCCCCACATCCGGTCTGTCAGGAAATCCTGTTGGTTCCATCAAAACAATGTTTCCAGACTCCAACCACGTGTCCCAGTCTCCACTGCCATCCCCCACGTGGCAGCCACCTGCACCCCTGCTTCCAGCCTTGCCCTCCTGGCCCCGCCCTGCCCAACCTGTCCTTAACACAGGAGCTAAGACAGATTCTTTTTTTTTCTTTAAATTTTTTTATTGTTATGTTAATCACCATACATTACATCATTAGTTTTTGATGTAGTGTTCCATGATTCATTGTTTGTGCATAACACCCAGTGCTCCACGCAGAACGTGCCCTCTTTAATACCCATCACCAGGCTAACCCATCCCCCCAGCCCCCTCCCCTCTAGAACCCTCAGTTTGTTTTTCAGAGTCCATCGTCTCTCATGGTTCGTCTCCCCCTCCGATTCCCCCCCTTCATTCTTCCCCTCCTGCTATCTTCTTCTTCTTTTTTTTTCTTAACATATATTGCATTATATGTTTCAGAGGTACAGATCTGTGATTCAACAGTCTTGCACAATTTACAGCACTCACCATAGCACATACCCTCCCCAATGTCTAATCACCCAGCCACCCCCTCCCTCCCACCCCACCCCCACTCCAGCAACCCTCGGTTTGTTTCCTGAGATTAAGAATTCCTCATATCAGTGAGGTCATATGATACATGTCTTTCTCTGGTTGACTTATTTCACTCAGCATAACGCCCTCCAGTTTCATCCAAGTGGCAAGATCTCATTCCTTTTGATGGCTGCATAATATTCCCTAGTATATATATACCACATCTTCTTTATCCATTCATCTGTTGATGGACATCTTGGCTCTTTCCACAGTTTGGCTATTGTGGACATTGCTGCTATAAACATTGGGGTGCACGTAACCCCTTTGGATCCCAACATTTGTATCTTCGGGGTAAATACCCAGTAGTGCAATTGCTGGATCATATGGTAGCTCTATTTTCAACTTTTTGAGGAACCTCCATACTGTTTTCCGGAGAGCCAAGACAGATTCTTAACAAGGTCCTTCATATGGTATCAGCTGTCTGCTGTGACAAAGTGCTGCAGTGATTTCACGCTGTAGATGTGTGCAGTGACCTCAAGGGCCCATTCTGACCCATGCCTCCCTGTCTACCTTCCTGCTCTCATCTCCAATTACTTTCTCTTGCTCGCTCCATCCGCCTCTTTTCCGAACCTCACACTCATTGGCATGCTTGCCGCCTTGGTGCCTTTGCTCTAGCTCTTCCCTCTGCTTCAGGTGCTCTTTACTCAGGTATCCTTGGAGCGCATCCCCTTGCTGCCTGTCCATCTTTGATCTGATTTTGTTCTCACTGAACTCGACCCTGACAACCTACTTCAAATCGCAACCACGTCCTTCATGCCCTATTCTGTTTCCTTTTTCCTACATCACTTATCTCTCCCTAATGAAACATATAATTAACTAGTTTACGTATAAGTGGTCTGTCTTTCCCTCTAAAATCAAGGTGGTTTGTCCTCTGCATTCATCGATGTATCCCAAGGTCAGAGAGAAATACCTAGCACATAATAAGTACTCAGTAAATATTTGCTACATGAGTACAGGGCAGCAATGCTGTCTTCCATTCTTTTTTTTTTTTTTTGAAGATTTTTTAAATTTGAGACAGAGAGAGAAAGAGAGCACAAGCTGGGGGCAGGGAGCAGAGGGAGAGGGAGAAGCAGACTCCTCGTGGAGCAAGGAGTCCAACGCAGGACTCGATCCCAGGACCCTGAGATCAGGACTTGAGCTGGGATCATGACCTGAGCCGAAGGCAGATGCTTAACCAACTGAGCCACCCAGGCGCCCCCTGTCTTCCATTCTTTATAGTCACATAAGCATGCGGCGTTGGTCTGCCCTCATTTTTCGTTTTTTTGTATGTGAACAGATGAATGTGTTTACCAAATTAACCGAGACTTAAAACCCTTCTTCTCTGCTAAACCTTTTAAAGTTGACTTCAAACGTGTGACTGGGTGAGTAAATAATTAGGCAGAATAAAACAAGACAAAACAGCAGTGTGTTTAGATTATATTTCCTCGCCGGGAAGGACTACAATATTGGTATGGAATGTAAGATGTGTACAATTATTTTCACAAGTCACTCCAGAATTACAGCTCTGGGAGCTGCCCAGCTGTGTTGATTTGTCAGCTCTTCCCGATGTCTTACCCCTGGGCGGTGACATCCTGCTAGTGTAGCGGTGTTGCCATAAGGTCAACAACCATCCTGCAGTGACACCCAATCTCAAGATGGCAAAAAAATAAAAAAAATTAAAAAATCCCTGCTTAAACTTTGTGAGCCACTTGAGCACAAGGCTGGGATTCAGTCCTTTTTTGATCCTGGGTCCAGGCCCCCAGATGACTGAAGGGCAAACCAAAAATGCTGATTGTGAGCGCATTTCATGATCACACGCAATTAGTATGCCAGGATTAAATACTGTTTTCCTGGGGCGCCTGGGTGGCTCAGTTGGTTAAGCGACTGCCTTCGGCTCAGGTCATGATCCTGGAGTCCCGGGATCGAGTCCCACGTCGGACTCCCTGCTCAGCGGGGAGTCTGCTTCTCCCTCTGACCCTCTTCCCTCTCATGCTGTCTCTCGTTCTCTCTCTCTCAAATAAATAAATAAATAAATCTTTAAAAAATAAATAAATAAATAAATAAATAAATACTGTTTTCCTGGTTCTCCAAAAATATGACATAAAAGGAAGTGGGTAATTTATTTCATCCCTAGATTTGTCTTCTCAGAAAGTAATTAACCTGGTTTCAGCCACTTCTAACAGGTATTTTGTGAAAATCAAATGAGATAATGGTTGTGAAAGAGCTTGAGTTCTGTTGCACACGAGGAATTTGAAAGACCTGTTTATAAAGTGTCAGTAGAGCAGTGGATTTTTCTTATTCACCCGGGGTGGGTCGGTTACTTCCTATAGGAAGGGGCTACACATCTGTTTCTGGCTTCCCTCCTCCCTCTGCCCACCTTGGATTGTGAGGTCAATTTTCATGGCCATACGTATGACATTTACCTGAAGCAAGTCACTTAACCTCTCAGAACCTCAATTTCTTTGCCGTAAAGTAAAAGTAATATCTTTCACAGGAAGAGATTGTCAGGATTGAATGGGATCATGTGTAGGAAATACTTTGGTAAACCTGAAAGCACCAGGTAAACAATACTTATCATAATGTTACCATCATTAATACTAATTAATTATAGTAATTGTTAACTTTGAGCCCTGGCTAAAGAGAAAAGAATATTTTACCTTCTCAGGTTTCTTTGACCCATGCTGAGTTTTGACCCACACACGTGCATGCGCACGCACACACATATATTTCTGGTAAAGTTACTGGTCCACGGAACTAGGAAGTGGCAGGTTGAATGCTTCCAAAGCTGCTATAGAAACTGGATTCTTGGGCACCTGGGTGGCTCAGTCGTCAAGTGTCTGCCTTCGGCTCAGGTCATGGTCCCCGGGTCCTGGGATCGAGCCCTGCATCGGGCTCCCTGCTCAGCGGGGAGCCTGCTTTTCCCCTGGCCCTCCCCCTGCTTGTGTTCCCTCTCTCGCTGTCTCTCTCTCTCTGTCAAATAAATAAATAAAATCTTTAAAAAACAAAACAAAACTGGATTCTTCACTGTTAACCCAGGAGACCGCATCAGTTCTTTTGTTGGTGGCAAAGCTGTAAAAGTTCCCTTTGCGGCTACACTGGCCTCCACGATCATTATTTTGCTTGAAGCTTTGGAGGCGGGTTCCTGCTGCGTTCCACCATGCTTGGCAGGCGCATTCGGGGTACAGGCTTTGTTTTTCTTGATGGGTGCCCACCAGGGGTGGTTGGGCAGGGCGGTGGACGTCCACTGCACCCCAGGTGAGAACCGAACACCCTGCATATGTGGAGACTCGCTGTGAAATCCTCGCTGCTTACTCAGGTAGCTTCATAAGGGCCTTATTTAACACCTCCAGCACCCTTGGTATTGCTCAGGCTCTGGTCAGTAAATATTTTCATTTGAACAATGGGGAGTTTGGGATACAACTCAAAAGGATGGAGGGACTCTAAGAGGCTTTGAAGCCCTGAGATAATATGGACAAAAAGGATGATTCTAAGATGAGAACAATGAAGAGCGTATGCTGGAATTAAAAGCGTGCATCTGAGTCAGATCGTATGTAACAGGAGGATTCGATTTCATATGTAATTGTTGAAAAAAAGGCATTCCTGTTGAATGTACTCTCATAGTATCTTGTTTAATGCTTAAATGCTAGTTTTTTCTTTTAAAGATTTATACGTCATATATACTAAAGCAATCATCTGGATAATAAAATAATTTAAATAACTGAGTTTACAGAACTTAATTGCAGTGATAATTTATGTCAAGACCATAGCAGATTTTGAGTTTTGTGGGGAGGGCAGTAAATACGTAACTATTTTAAAAAGGATGGCACAAATAACTTTACATTTTATGTATCTTGGTTTTAATTTTTGCTTTAATAAAATGGAGTTGAAATTGGGAGTGTGTGTTCTTCACATTCTTCATCGCCTTGAGTTAGAAAAAAATAGAATTTGTTACTTATGAAATTCTCAAATACTGTTTTAATTAACAGTGATTTATTTCAAAACACATATGTTCATGTCTGTAGAAGTAGCTACTTCGGTTGTAAATGAACTGTCAGTAGTTTATATGAAGCCAGGTATTTGGTTGCTTCTGCTGTTTACCAACACAGAATTTTGGAATTTGCCAATTTGGGCTTAGTCATCAGACAGACCTGGTCTCAAATCCTGGCTGTCTTGGACCTGCTGTGGGGCCTGGGCAGCTTACCCAAATGCTGCTAACCCTACCCCATAGGATTGTTGTGAGGATGTAATGTGATAGATATATTAAGTGACTAATAGAGAGCCCATGAAAAAGTAAGTGCTCAATGAATATTACTTTCCTCCCTTTCTTCTTGTCCACTTGTGTTTTTAATGGATCATTGCCTTACCCTGGATTGTATTGTAGGAAGTATTCTGGATGGATGGCTGCTGGAAACCCATTGCCATAGCCAGCTCTTCTTCAGTACTTAAGGATTTACCCTGGCATTGAGTAATGAGAATTTCGGTAAGAAAAATTAGAGATAGTACATGGACTTTTCATAAAAGGTCACTTGAATCTCAGATACTTCATAGTAAGTTCTCTGACTCTTCTCCAAAGACCTTGAGATGCCACAGATCTCTGGTCGCATATGGATTATTCTTATTTTGAAAGTAAATAGAAATAGGTCTTTTAACTCTACTCACATCAGGTGCTCTTCATGTCATTGTAAATGTATTATTTCACTTACCTTATTTTGTTCTTTGAATTTTTCATCTAATCAATGAATGGTCTAGTCTTTGATGACAGTGTCTGGATATTGTTCATCTCTTTAGTGTAGACTAAACGAAGCACAGATTCTTAGTGTTTAGGGTACTTTCCCAAACTGTAAAGGTTTTGACAGTGTGAGAGAGGCAGGCAAAAGTATCAAAACTGAGAAACTCTAAGATAAGTATGTTCCTAAATCACCAAGAGAAATTATTATATATTGCTTGTTAAGATGGCATAGAGTTCTTTAGTTGGGGCTATTTTTATCCATTCTTTTCCTCCAAATGATACCAATATATAATTAATTTTCATTTGAAATTAATTCACGTGAAATTAATACATAACTAGTACACCTGTATTAGTAACTCATGTTATTAACCTGTGCTGTATAAAATATGTTGAACTATTATTGTCAGCCACACCCAAATAAAAAAAATGAACATGCCATGGGGAATTAAGAGCAATCCAACAAACATATGCTGAACTATTAAAAAGGAAAAAAAAAGATGAGAGGGAGGATAAAGATAATAGAAACAAAGTAAGCGATGATATTAGTATATATGTAAATTAGTAAATATATGAACTTTCTTAAAATTATTGTCACTGAAATGCACCCGGAGAAATACATAGTAAAGAATTTTGCTCATAGGAGACAGAGCTGGAGGTGTGAACAAAGCAAGAAGGATAAATTCTAGCTTCATTAAATCTAATAAAGAGCATTAATTCTGAAATTGTGATAAACTTAATTTTTGGAATCTAAAAATATGATAAAATATTATTTTAAGTATCATTTTTTAACTAAAAAAAGTTTTAACCACGTTGCCTGTGATGATATTTTTTAGAAACCACATTTGAGAAGTACTTCCATCCAGTGCTACTTGTGTTTACTTTTGAACAGTCATTTTCTAACTGAGGCTGGCATTCATGTCTTCATTTTGGGGTAAGTTTATCTTTCAGCATAAATATCATCATGTTAATGGCCTTGATCATTGTTCTTCAGTATCTTTTCTTTTAAACTGCTTTATGTTCAGTTTGCTTAAATCCTTAGGAACTAAGTATTTGGGGTAAGATAGAGGGCAGATTACAGAGATTCTGAGGGGGTTTGGTAAACACCCATATGAGCATTTCTACATTTGGGTAATATTCCAAATGAGTGTTATATCCTTCCAGTAAATTAGACCTCTTGGTATTTAACTAAACTTGGAAGTCCATTCCTTATTAATAGCTTACATGATTTTCACAGCAGTAAAATACAGATATTTAGGGCTTGTCCATGTTACTTTTTTATCTATCCCTGACACTGACATCGCCCATCCTCTGAGCCCTACCCTACTTCAGTTTGAAATGTTTCTTTCTTTACTTAGGCCTTTCGTTTTTCCTCCTAATAGACATTCATATATTTCCATGCTTATTAACTTTTTTCTTCTCTCTTAGATGTAGCTAATTCACTGCACACAGTTGGCCCAAAGCACCCAGCCTGTAGTTATGTAATATGACCCTCAGCTCAGTTTTCCTTACTAATGCCTTCATGGTGTGGGGAACCAGAGATGTGTGCAGGTGCATCTTCCTCACAGGGAAGATTAGTGTTGGATCTCTTGCTTCTGTACAATATCCATCAGGGAGCAACTGTTTTTCCTCAAGCTTGAAGAATCATTCCACAGTCACTTGGTCAGTGTATGAGTCTTTTGTCCTGATGTTAAATTTCAGTTTTACCAAAATGAGTAAGCGTATGATCGTTCAGACTAGATTGGTCTCAAGTTGGTAATATTTCTGAAGAAAGCTACTGCAGAACTAGTCACAGTGCGAGCAGTGTGCAAAGGGGCATGTTTAATCCATGGTAAAGACTATGTACTATCAAAATCTGTACATGAAAACAATTATTGCTTATTTTAAGAAATTTACCTGTTTATTGGACTTAGAAGTCGGATGGAAACTCTACTTAAAGAAAACTCAGAATTCATTCAAAAACATGTACTGAGCACTACCACACATCAGGTGCTGTGTTTATTCCATTGTGATAAATTACACCAGGTTATTTATAAGTTATCCTTCCAAATTAGGTTTTTCTCTAATCCCGGTAGGTCAGTCCTTAAGTTAGCCTCAAGTGTCAAGGGGTTGTACTGTATGTTTGCTGTTTATATTCATCTGTTGAATGCACAAAGGCAAGGATAACACTTATCTTTTCACGGATCAAAATAAAAAAGATCTCGATTGCTCTTTTGCCTGTAATACTCATCAAGCCAGTATTATTATGCTCATTCAAAATGTTTTGCTCTTTGGTTTTGCTTTCAGTTGTATCAGTGCAGGTCTTCCTAAAACAGAGGCAACCTGGCAGTTTGTAATAAGTGATTTGGAAAAAATTGACAATATTATTCAAGTGAGTACTCATTTTTCTATAAACTATCTGGTATGATTGCTATGGAGTATGCCTCTCCCTATGTTCTGCTGTCAGTCTTAATGAAATCTCACTTGAAACAATATTTTTGTAGAAATTCATGAGCCTGGCGAAGTCTTAAATGAAATCTTTTACTTAGAATTTTCAGATCCTAATTATCTTTAAAACTCAATTTATAAGTGGCCTGGTATGAAGGGCTCTCTGTCACCACAGTCCGGAGACTCCCGTCTCCAGCAAAGAAACTGGGCAGCTTGGCCGCTCTTGTAGGGAGCATGGCCTGACCCAAAGAGGAGCTCTCTGTCCTGTGGCTAAGGAACCCCCTCTCTCACCTGGAGACACCAGCCGGCCTGGCAGAACCTGCAAGGAGAAAGAGAGCAGGAGCGCTGGGGAATTGCCTTCCACCACAGGGGGTGACACAGCAGGGACGAGTGGGAGTCCCAGGGGCCCCAGGGGAACCAAGCATTTCAAATTAGCACCACAAAGATTCTGAAAGCTACACTGTCATTAGAACTGCAGCTTACAAAGGGAAGTCTGAACCTAAACCTAAATAGGGTGGCTGTGTGCTGGTATAGAATATTTAAATGGAACCCGGGTCTCGTAACATAAAGTTAAAATACCAGAATACAGCTGAAACTCACTTGTTATGCCAAGAAGCAAGAACGTCACAACTTGACTGAGAAACAACTCTGAAATAGACTTTGAAACAGAGATGGCTTGGATGTTGGAATTATTTGACAAGGATTTTAAAGCAGCCATCATACAAATGTGCCAACAAGCAATTACAGATACCCTTGAAACAACTGGATAAAACAAAGTCTCAGCAAAGAAATACAATATGTAAAAGGAACCAAGTGGAAATGACAGAACTGAAAAATACAGTAACTGAAATATAAAACAAACTGGAGAGATTCACGAACAAAATGAATATGACAGAGGAAAGACGGTGAACTTGAAGATAGAATAATAGAAAACACACTGAAAAAAAAGCCTCAGGGATCTTTGGTATAATAAAAGATCCAGCATTCTTTTTTTTTTTTTTTTAATTTATTAGAAAGAGAGAGGGAGGGCGAGCGGTAGGAGGAGCAGAAGTAGAGGGACAAGCAGACTCTGTGTTGAGGATGGAGCCCGTCGTGGGGCTTGATCTCATGACCTTGAGATCAGGACCTGAGCTGAAATCAAGAGTCTGGCGTTTGACTGACTGAGCCACCCAGGCACCCAAGATCCAGCATTCTTAGCATTAGCATCCCAGAAGGAGAGGGGAAAGAGAATACAAGTAAAAGACAGAGATTGGCCAAATTGATAACAAAACACAAACCAATATTTTGCTGTCTACAAGGAATTCACTTCAAGCATAATGATATAAGTAGGTTGAAATTGAAAAGAGAAAAGAATATACCATATTGTAATGGGTTGTTGAATAGTGCCCCCCCAAAAAAAATTCATGTCTACTCAGAACCTCCAAATGTGGCCTTCTTTGGAAATAGGGTCTTTGCAAATACAGTTAGTTAAGGTGAGGTCCTACTGGGGTGGGTTGGACCCTAACTCCACGACTAGCTGTCCTTCTAAGAAGAGGACAGACCACAGAGAGAGTGACAGGGAAGAAGGCCATGTGAAATTGGAGGCAGCTACAAGGCAAAGGAAACTAAAATAATGCAGCTAGAAGCCACAGAAGACCCAGGATTGCCCGAGTCACTAGAGAGTTGGGAGAGGTAAAGAAGGATTGTCCTAGAGCCTTCAGAGGGATCATGGCCCTACTGACATCTTGATTTTGGACCTCTAGCTTCCCGAGTTGTAAGAGAATACTTTGTTGTTGTTTCAAGCCCTCGTTTGGATATTTTGTTACTGTAGCTCTAGGAGGCTGATACACATACAGACAATTTTAAAAATCAGAAGTAGCTCTCTTAGTATCAGATAAAGTAGACTTTACAGCAGGTAAAATTACTAGAATCAAGAGATCCATTACAAAACAGTGAGAGATTAACCCACCAGGAAAAGGTGATCTTAAATGTGTACACGCCAAACAGCAGAGCCTCAAAGTACAAGATGCAAAAACTAATCAAACTGAAAGGAAAAGGAGGCAAATTCACAATTATAGTTGAGGACTTCATCACCTCCTAAGGAACAAACTCAATGACGAGAGGAAATCAGAAAGGATATAGAAGAACTGGACATCACAGTCAGCCAACAATATCTAATTCACATAGATGAAACATTTCACTCACCGACAAAGAATTAATATTTTTTTTTCAGGCCCCATTCACCAAGACTAACCATAACATGGGCCATAAAACAAACTAACAAATTTATCAGAATTGAAATCATGCAGCGTGTGTTCTTTGAGCACAGTGGAGTCATGTAGAAGTCAATTATATAAATACAGCTGGAAAGCCTTCAAACACTTGGAAACTAAATAATATACTTCTAAATTTTCCGTGGGTTAAAGGTTAAATCTCAAAGGATATAAAAAAGTACATAGACCTGACTGAAAATGAAAGTACAACACATCAAGATTTGTGGGATTCAGGCAAAGCATTACTGAGAGGGAGATTTATAAAACTAAGTTATTATATTAGCAAAGAGGAAAGATCTCAGATCAACAATCTAAGTTCCCACCTCAAAAAACTGGAAAGAGAAGAGCAAAATAAACCTAACACAAGCAGAAGGAAGGAGAAAGTAAAGATAAGAGCACAAATTAATGAAATTGAAATCAGAAAAATAATAGAGAAACTTAATGAAACATAACACTCATTATTTGGGGGGAAAATCAACAAAATTGATAAACCTTCAGAAAAACTGATAAAGATTAAGAAAGAGATGACATAAACCATTAACATCAGAACTGAAATGAGAGACTATCGCTACAGAATCTGCAGACATTAAAAGGATAATAAGGAAAACTGTAAACAACTTTATTCTCTAAATTTGACAACTTGGAGGAAATGGACCAATTTCTCAAAAACCACAAACTACCAAAATGTAACAGAGATGAAATAAACAATCCCAAATGACTATAACCATTAAAGACACTGAATTCACCATAAATAAGCTCCCCAGAAAGAATCCCCAGGCCCACCTGGTTTCACTGGAGCATTCTACCAAACACTTAAAGAAAAATTAACACTGATTTTACAATCTCTTCCAAAAATAGAAGAAGGAAAACTTTCTAACTCACTTAGGCAAGTATTACCCTGATGCTAAAACCAGGCAAAGATGATACCAAAGGAGAAAGCAACAGATACCTCTAATAAACTTAGATGCAGAAATTCTCAATAAAATATTAGCAAATAAAATCCACCAGTGTATTAAAAGAATTATATATCATGACCAATGGGATTTATTCCAGGTATGCAAGACCTGCCTACTATTGGGAAACCGTGTCTGTAACCCACCTTATTAACAGGCTAAAGTAGATTATCATATGACTGGATCAGTTGATGGAGAAACAGCATTTTAAGAATATACCTATTCCTAGTAAAATTTCTCCACAGACAAGGAAAGAGAGGTAACTTTATCAACTTGATACAGAGCATGTACAAAAAACCTAGAGCTAACATCGTACTTAATGAGGAAAGACTGAATGTTTTCCCCTAAGATTAGAAACAAGACAAATATGTCATCTCTCACCACTCTTATTCAACACAGTATTGGAATTTGCAATTCTTCTTGCAAGGCAAGAAAAAGAATGAAAGTATGCAGATTAGAAAGGAAGAAATTATGAATCACCCCAAGTCTTTTTCTGGGAGAAAGTGCCAATAAATGGCTGTACATTATTTAGAGAATGCGAGTTAAAACCACAGTGACATCACCATGCACTTATAAGAATATTTAAATTGAAAAAATAGTAATAATGCTGAATGCTGGCAAGGATGTGGAGAAACTAGATCACACATATTTTTGATGAGAATATAAGATTTTACAGCTACTCTAAAATAGTTTGGCTGTTTTTTATAAAATAAAACATGCATTCGCCATATGATCCAACAGTTGCTCTCCTGAACATTTATATCAGAGAAATGAAAGCTCAGGTCCATACAAGAACAGGCACATGAATTTTCATAGACCTTCATTTGCAATAGCTAAGAACTGAAAACAACCCAAATTCCCTTCAGTGGATGAATAAACTGTGGTACATTATATCATGGAACAATACTGAGCAAATATAAAGAAAGAATTACTGATACTCACAACAGGTTGGATGGATCTCCAGAGTATTCTTATGCTGGGTGAAAAAAAAACCAATCTGAATAGGCTAACTGTGGTACATCCACACAATAGAATATTATCCAGCAATAAAAACAAATAGAGCTTCTAGACATGAAAAGACATGGAGAAACCTTAAAAGCATATCCACTAAGTGAAAGAAGCCAATCTAAAAAGGCTACGTACTGTGGTGCCAACTATATGACATTCTGGAAAAAGTAAAAATATGAATACAGCAAAAACATCAGTGGGAAATTTCCAGAGGTCAGGGGAAAGGGAGAGCTGAACAGATGGAGCACAGGTAGTCTTTATGGTAAAGAAACTATTTTGTGTGATACTAAAATGGTGGGTACATGTCACTATATACTTGTTAAAACTCAGAATGTACAACACCAAGACTGAACCCCAAGGCAAACTATGGACTTTGTTACAAATGTATCAATACTGACTCATCAATTGTAATACATGTACCAGGCTAATGCAAGATAATAATAATAGGAGAAACTGGGGCGGGACAGGGGGGATATATGGGAACTTTCTGTACTTTCTGCTCATGTTCTGTAAACATACAACTGCTCAAAACATAGTGTATTCAAAAGACCAATCTCAAACGATTATATACCATATGAGTCCACTTATATAACATTCTTGAAATGATACAGGAATGGAGAGGAGAGAAGTGGTTGCCAGGGATTAGAAAGGTGGGGGGTGAAATGTATGTTAAGAAAGGTGGTTTGGGCTATAGAATAGTAGGATTTTAATGATGTAACTATGTAACTGTGGAGGTGGTTACATGAATTTACACATCTGGTAAAATTGAGAACTGCACATATCCATTAGTGCACATCCAACTGGTGAAATCTGAACAAGGTGGGTGGATTCTATCAATGTCAGTTTCCTGGTTGTCATATTGTACTGTGGTTATGCACGATATAATCGCTGGGAGAATGGCGAAGGAGGCACAGGATCTCTATTTGTTCTTACAATTGCATATGAATCTGAAATTATCTCAAAATAAAAAAATTTAAAAAGCTTAATTTAATGTTTTCAGTAGGTTGTTCTCACTATATCTAAAGCAGGGCATAGTTTTTCATATTATCTAATTTTGTTTCCTTTCAGTCTATACATATTGATACCACTTTATATACTGAAAGTGATGCTCATGTGAGTATAGTTTATTTTTTTGAAAATTGCTATATTTTCCAGTTTCAAAAGTTGAAGAAGTATATCCTCATAAATTTACTGAAGGATGTATAGTTTTTAAATCTAACTTTCCATGTATTCTGACAACATATGATCAATGAATTTTCTAAGTAATTGTTGAGGTTGTGGGACTTGGGGACAGAGAGCTACAAAGATGCTATTTTCATAATGGTACCAAATCAAAATCTAAAACAGCCTTTTCCATCAATGTCAAACAAAATATATTATATATTTTGTGATGCAATTAGATCATGATGCAATTAAATGCAAAAATCAGGTTAACTGATTCAATTTAAAACTATCCACTATATCTGTTGTTTCCAGTGCTATAGTGTATTACCACCCTTAATCAAATTTTCTACAAATTGCTTAAATGCATTCATGTTCTACATTTTGCATGAATCTCTACAATTGTCAGAACAGGATTCTGGCTGGTTACCCTCTATGTGAGAAAAGAAATAAACAGAACTCATAAAACTTATCCGAATTCAAAAATGATCTTGAACTTGTCTCATTAATACCCTGACATTGCTGAAGGTGTGTATGATTTTAGCCATGTTCCTGGTCCTTCTCTCTGGATTGGCTACTAAAAACCAAGAAACAAATCTCTGACTTCTTCACCTCATGGTAAACAAACTCTGTGTTGTATGCATGGAGAACTGTGAGTCCGCTCTCAGTTAGGACCTCTCTGAAATAGATTTTGCTCCTATGAGGACATTCTTAGCTTTGGGAGGAAGCCTTCACCACAAACTAGAAAAAAAAAAAAAAAAAAAAAACAGATGTTCATCAACCACTTGGCTAGTGCTGCTACACATAGAAATTGTCTGCCTTTTCAGCTTCAGCATGCCTTCCATTTTTCCAAAGTAGAGAGCAGTCAATTAACCCCCAAAACTCAGCATCCTGAGATTGCTTTTTTTTTTGCAAGAAGATAACCTTGTAACTCACGGGTTACAGAAAGAAGCTGAGGTTGAAATTTAGATTTAAACTCTGATTCAGCCCCTACCTAGCTGTGTTACCTTAGAAGTCACTAAGCATGTCTGACCCTGTTTTACTTATTTATTATTTTCTCTATCTATCTATCTATCTATCTATCTATCTATCTATCTATCTATCTATGTGGGGACAGTATTTACCCTTCAATCCTGAGCAGCTGCTGTGGGACATGGGTATATTGCCAGTGCCAGACACATGGGTGGGTTCCTTCCTTCCTTCGTCCACAGTAAGCATTTGTGGAGTGCCGGCTGGGTCCCAGGCACTGTGCAAGGCAATGAGAACAGAAAGTCAAACAAGTTGTGGTCAAACCTCCAGATATTCATCAATGCTTCTTTGAAGTTTAGGCTTTTGTTCAAGAAACCATTGTGGGAAACATACTTCTGTGGTATCTGAAAGGTCCCTTTCTGGTTTGGCCAGCCCTTGAGTGGGCACTACTCATACATTGATTTTTCTTTTCTTTTTTTTTTTTTTTTAATTTTATTGGTTTATTTGACAGACAGCCAGAGAGGGAACACAAGCAGGGGGAGTGGGAGAGAGAGAAGCAGCTTCCCGCGGAGCAGGGAGCCCGATGCGGGGCTCGATCCCAGGATCCTGGGATCATGACCTGAGCCGAAGGCAGACACTTAACGACTGAGCCACCCAGGCGCCACGATTTTTTTAATACATCTCTTAGAATCACTCCTGCCTCTGGAACTTTGGAACTTGCAGAAATAGCACGATCAGCAGCTATCACTGTTTAAAATGTTAACAACACAATTTGATTCTAAAAATTCTTTCAGTGCACTATCCATACTAATGTTTTGAGAGAGTCTCAGGCTGGTATTAGCACCCTTTTATAAAGAGGAAATGTTCTCAGTGAGAAAAAGTGGCCTATTATTTCCATGTTGTCTAGATTTATGTTCGCTCTTCTGTATAATATTACCATCCTCTTAGATTGTTTCGTTGTCAGTTTGTTTGGGTTTTGATTTCAAAGCCAAAAAAGAAAAAAAAAGCTGTCTCCTGTGTAAAACTTCTTGGGGGTATTGTGTTTCTTTATAAAATATTTGGATTGACTTTTTAAAAAACCAAAATTACATCTATGTAAACATGCATAATGGAAAGGTCATTTTTTTTCCCAAAATGATTCTCTGTAACTCTTATTTTTAGCCCAGTTGCAAAGTAACAGCGATGAAGTGCTTTCTCCTGGAGTTACGTGTTATTTTGCTTGAGTCCAAACATCATCTCCTTAATGAAACAGTAGAGAACCTTATCATCCTAGCAAATGATGGTTTATCTTCTAATGGGGTGAGTTTTCCAATAGTCAGACGGAGCTTTGTCTGATGCTTTTGGCTTGGGTGGGAGAAGGCATTAGCTGGATATAAGGAACAAGCAAGCTCTCGGGAGAGGGCGTTCATGTCTGCGGAGTGGCCGCAGCACTAGGGTGCGCACAACTCTAAACTGTTTTATCAATTTATTCATTCAACAAACGTGCACTGCGTGATGCCAGGCGGTGCACTTTGGTGTGAGAGTTATAGTGGTGAACCAGGGAGGTCATTGCCCTCAAGACGTTTGTCCCCAGGATCAGTGCAGAGCCATGAATCTAATGACATAGTTAAGTGTTCAGCATCAGGAATAGCAATTCGCATTTGTTCGGTTATTCTTCTATGCCAAACAACACCGTTCCTCAGCGGTGACGTGGCAGTCCCTCGCGTCCTCACAATCAATCTGTGACATAGTTATCCTTGTGTCTGTTTTAAGGCTGAAGAAATTGGAGCACTAAGGGCTCAAAATCATTGCCTCCAATTTGCACAGCTGGTAGAATGGGGAGCCAGGATTCATACCCAAGCAGTTTCACTTCGGGGAATGTCTTCTTCTTATCCCCTGGCAGGACAAATGCTGCAAAAAGCTAATAATAAACATCTTAATAATTCAGGTAGAATTTGGGCCACGCCAGGCACCACGAGCAGTATGGTTGCCGGGGCACAAATGCGAGGAGCGCCCGCAGCGGCCGTGGGGATGAGCTGCTCAGAGGCCCTCAAGTACAAAGTGTGATAGCCTTCCCAGCACAACACCAGTGGCCAAAGTAGAGTGGAGAGCAAGAAGTTTTATGAACAGAGAAGGCATAAGAATAACTCATTAATGTAACACACACTTTGTGAGCCTCATTGTAGGCCCTCGAGATAACAGACGTGAAAAAACACACCTGGTCTCTGCTCTCAAGGGACTTAAGTCATAAAGTAAAGAATAAATAAAGCAATCAGAAGGAAATGAATAATAATAACTCAGTTATTTATTAATTCCAGTGGCCCAATAGAAGGTAGGTAAGAGGGCTGGGATTCCACTTTAGACGTTCACCTACTAAGCGGACATTTGGCCAGGACAAGAGGGAATGAGCCTTGTCTCCAGGGAAGGATGTTGAGGCAGAGGTGACCGAAAGTGCAGAGCCCCTGAGCTGGGGAGACGGAATGCTGTGGACTTGCCCAGAAGATGCCAGGTTGCTTTAGGGCTTTGCTGAAATGTCACCTTCTCAGTGATGTCAGCTCTTCACACTGCAGTCTGTCCCCACGCCCCGTCCTCTTGTCTGCATGCCCCACTAGCTGTTTTCCTGAATGGCTTTTGTCTGCTTTTCCCTACTCAAATGCCACTTTCAAAGGGGCAGTTATTTGTGTGTGTGTGTGTGTGTTTTCTCCAGCGCTGTATCCCAACTCCCCAAACATTGCCTGGCATATTCTAGACAATGTATTTATGAAACGAACATACTGCTGTTTAAAATACTCTTGTGATACGTTATTTCTATGTTATTGGTAGAAAGGCTGAGCCGGGCAACAGATGACTCCTAACAACATCCCTGGTGAACTCTTGATGCCCACGGTCACAGTCACTGTGACCGGGATGTGGTGTGTTCACATCTAGTGGAAGGAGCAGGCAGGCGGCACAGTCAGAGAATTTCATGGAATATCTCTGCCTTGCTGGTTGACATGATTATTTTCAAGGAGGACAGTTCTATATGGAATATGACAGTGCCTGGCATAGAGGTTGTGCTTGATAAATGTTGGTGAATATGAATTTCAAATGCTTAATGGATGTAAAATCTAATTTTGATTTTTGCTGGTACGGCTTTCATGGTTCAGATGATCTCTTAAATAGTTATTGGTGATGACTACCTTTGGAAGATTCTAGGTATCCATGAAATGGTGTTTGAATTACAACTTGTGGTCTTCACCTAAATAGTTCGATTCAACCGGTAACGACAGTGAGTCCCATGTGCCAAGCCCTGTGCTAAATGCTAGGGAAACAAAAATGTGTGGCTTTGCGCTCTTAGAAAAGTCTAGAGAACAGTAGCATAAAAAGCATGAAACTCCCTAATATCAATATAATATATGATGTGATAGGAGGGAGGTCTGAGAATGTAGAGATGGAACGTTTAGAGGAACTCCTCTGTTCAGGAATGCCTTCCCGGTGGAGATAGCACCTGAGTGATCTTAACCTGAGTACTGGTAGCTACAGTGGCAATGAGCCACCTGCAGAGAGAAGAGTCAACACGGCAGGGGGGCTAATAGCATGATGTGTGCACGGGGCTGAAGGCATGAGTCAGTGAACTTAGGCTATGTCCTTTGAGGTGGTGGGGACAGGTGAAAGACACAGGTGAGGATCACTTCAAGGCCCCTGTGTGCCACGCGGGGAGGCATAGACTTGATGCTGGGGTAGACAACCAGAAGGGTAAATGACCACTCAAGGGCGCTAAGCAGGAAGTCCATGATCTGATAGACGTGGCTTATTTTTCCAATGTCTTTAACCTATTATAGGAAAAATAAGCCTAAATCAAATCTCCCAGTTCTCTTTTCCAGTGGTTCTTCCTACTATGATATTAATTTGCCAAAGTTTTCATGTCTTAAGACCTCCCCATATGGTTCAAATGATGCGATATTCCCAGGAAAGAGATACAGTAGACTTTCCAATCTAATCCTTTCTTTTTATTTGGCAGAATGTAACTGAAACGGGATGCAAAGAATGTGAGGAACTGGAGGAGAAAAATATTAAAGAATTTTTTCGGAGTTTTGTACATATTGTACAAATGTTCATCAACTCTTCTTGATTGTAATTGATCCTCTTCGGCATTTCTGCTATTAACAAACATCTTCCCACGGCTTAAGGGCAATGAAACTCTCTGCAGTTCACATGGGCTGCCCAAACCAATTTTTCTAACAAGAGGAAGATCCGGAATTTTGGATCGGATGAACTCTTGGAAATGAAGGCAGAAAAAATGGCATTGAGTAACATGGTGTCTATGAACTGTCCTCATACTTATTTTGTTCACTTAGTCTTAATTTATTATTGAAGTTGCACATATTTGTAGCATAATATAAAGTATTGAATAAAATTGTGTACCTACTTTATCCTTTGAAATTGCACTGATACTTACCCCTTTAAGGAAGTAGGGGACATTCCTTCAAGGGCAAGGGTCAAATTACACAGCTGGCAGGGCTGAGCACCACTGGACAGGTCAACTGTGTGCTCCAGCCAGTCAGGAACCGCTAACCACCAGCCTTCACTCACTTCTCCAGTGGGTGTCCCACAAGGAGGAAGAATTGACTCCCAACGAGAAAGGAGAAATAGGTGTGAAACGGATGCTTTACTCTGTAACATAGTTATTGATATCAAAAGCACCTGTTATCAAAGACAGTGCATGAACCTGGCATGTACTGCACATCAGTGAATCTTAGGTGGGAGTGACAATAATAAACCTTCACTGATAGGTAGAATCGTGTATGGAGAACTCGTGGTTGTAATGATGTTAATATTGCCATGCTTTCCTGAGCGCAGGTGTTTTATTTTCACATTTTTTTTGCCATGTTCATATAATAAAAAAAACCTGATTTGTTAGAGCCAGCATTATCTGATGAAAAATAATTGTTTATTTTTGCACTATACTGTCTGAAATTTCCAAGCTCTTTTTTAATAAAACTCTGACTAAGATGAAATATTTTTGTGTCCTCACAATTTCTTTCACCCAACTCACTTCTGGCATTCTTCACTTGAGGGGCTGCAGGGTAGGAATTGATGTCCTACGAATTCGATTTCGCTCCATTTCACAATATGAACCAGTTCTCTATCAAAACATTCTTTTATCTCCCAGTACCCAGTCCATGCTCATGTGTCTCATTGCTATAGTCAATGTATGATGCTTAAACATTTCTTTCGAGATAGTTTTGGAGAAATCTGTATCCTATTTGACTTCTGAAGAGTCATGTGTTGGCTATCAGTTTGTTTCCTGATATCAGTCCAGACAAATAGTGTTTGACAGCCACACTTTAAAGTTTAGGGATTGAAACTGTGGCAAGGTGTTTTGTTTGCTCATTTGTTTTAAGTTCATCTGAAATGGATTTTTTAAAAATCTACCTTTCATTTCCACCCTCCCCCCTAACTTTTCTATGGATGGAGATTAGGAAAAACGCACCATTTTTAACTGTAAGTGGCCAATCCAATCCTTAGACAAAAATTAGCCTCCTTCCAGTGTTTGTTGGGATGGGAAAGGGAAATCATAATGGCAGTCACATCACCAATAATATTTTATGGTGACTAATGATCCATTCTGGCTATATAAGCACACAAGTGGGTTTAAAGTTTGGCATTTTCCAATGCTCAAAATTGGGATTCCTTCCACATTAGTTACTTAGTATGGGTCTTCAGTTAATCATAAGGAACTCAAGGCATAGAGGTATAGCTCTCAAAACATTCTTAGCTAACTTAAGAAAAGATTTAATTATGTAAAACAACCTAAGTTTTATTGTTCAGGCCTGAATTCTTTTCTAAGATTTTTTTTTAAATTTTTTTTTATTTGACAGAGAGAGATACAGCGAGAGCAGGAGCACAAGCAGGGGGAGTGGGAGAGGGAGAAGCAGGCTTCCCGCCGAGCAGGGAGCCCGATGTGGGGCTCGATCCCAGGACCCTGGGATCATGACTTGACTCGAGGGCAGATGCTTAAGGACTGAGCCACCCGAGGGCCCCCAGGCCTGAATTCTTAACAAGATCAGTTTTTCATTTGTGTTTCAAAGGTTTTCCTTCTCAAACTGTCCTTAATTAGCCCGCCGATGTTATTTGTGTAGATTAGAATACATTGTTTTTATCTCACCTATTGCCCTAAATGCTGGAAGCATTTGCCTTATGTTACACGTGATAAAGAAAGCACAAATCCATAGACTTAGAAGCTCAAATAGTAAAGGCAAGCCTGATAAAAATTAGGTTTGCAGTCTGGAGTCATTTTGATGGATTATATTCTTACCTCTTTAAAATTTCAAATGAAGAAAAAGATACATGAGAGAATATCATTTCTACACTCTCCTTGGCAATAAGCAGAAAAAGGGTTAGAAGACAGAGGACATGGAAATGCAAACTGAACCAATACATAATTTGTGAGCCCAGAGATTGTTAAAACCCAATCACAAGCCTAGTTTTATATACTCTCATTTTTTACCTTAGAACAGAAAATTGATAGAATTCTTTCTTTTGCTGCTATTACTCCTGTTGTGAGAGGGGCTTATTATGTTTTTCTCTATGTGTTACTCTTTCTGTCCATCAAATTTAAAGGCTCATAAAGTCAAACCAACATATATAACATGAAAACCAAGCGTGTGATTGATCCCTTCCCTCCCACCCAGAAATTCTGGAGAAAGCATTTTCGTTCCTTCATCTGTGTTATCTCAGGCTTAATGTTAAGTTCACTGCATTCATATGTGAGTCACAGTTAACATATGCATGTCATGTATAAATATTTTGCCAGGAGGAAATTCCATTTCCATAGAGATTTAGTTCAATGCTTCTGAATGTGTCTGATGATTGAATTTTATTTTCACTAAGGAATTTATTATGCAAGGCAAACTTTAGCTTCATTGAAAAGTCCCCTAATTGTATAATCTATCTGATGCAACAGAGAAGAAAAATTAATGAATTGTTAATAAAGAGTCATGATTTTGTCCTTGGTAAAAAACAAACGGAGACCAGCCTTGAAAATTCCCTGAGCAGACAAAATCAGTTTAGTCATACAAACAAACACTAATTTAGCTTGTTTTGCAAGACTAATTGACTGGGTCATTTCTTGCTTATGCGTCTGAAAACCATAAGCAAAACCTAAACTGTTTCCCAAGATGGATTTGAGGTAACCATTGACCAATTCCTTTTCATTTAAGAAAATTCTAATGTAACCAATCACTGGGAAGAATAAATCGTCCCTGCTACTCCGTAACAATATACCCCTGAGCTGCCTTCCATCTTTTGATTTGGTTGCTTCTGGTTTGCAGACTGCCTTTTTGGTGTGTGCACAATAACTACTTCAGTGATTGACTGGTTTTATTTTTCTGTATTTCTAAATTTCTGATAGTCTTACATTTTACCTCTATTTTTTTTTTTAAGGATTTTATTTATTTGACAGAGAGAGACACAGCAAGAGAAGGAACACTAGCAGGGGGAGTGGGAGAGGGAGAAGCAGGCTTCCCGCGGAGCAGGGAGCCCGATCTGGGGCTTGATCCCAGGACCCCAGGACCATGCTCTGAGCCGAAGGCAGACGCTTAACGACGGAGCCACCCAGGTGCCCCCATTTTACCTCTTTAATCCTGGAATTCAAAATCAGTTAACCACTAGAGGAAATGAAGTGGAAATTGTTACACAGATGTCAAATTGAAAATTGTACATTGAGTTTTTACGAGCTGTGTCAACACTTTCAGAATATTATCAGAAGATCCAGTGTCACCCTAAACGTGATTTGTCTTCATCATCCTCACTCTCGTTAAGGAAGTCACTCCTTCAGCCATATCGTAACCTGGTTTATTGAAAGCCAACTGTGTGCGAACATGATGGTGGCTACTGCAGTTACAAGTGTGAGGAAGGCATCCGTAGGTTCGGCCCTCATGGGGTTGACATTCCAGGAGGAGAATCCTGTTATCCCATTAACCACTCATGTGCTTATTTGGTTACCAGTAAGGAAGGATTAGAGCACGTTCAAAGAGAGGAAGGAAGGCCAGGGTGGCTAGGGTCAGAAAAAGCAATGAAAGAAGCTGGTAAGATAAATATCAGCTGGTCTTATAGGCCAGGTAAGGATATTGGTGGTAAAGATTTTGCTTTATATTCCAAAAGAAAGAAGCTCTTACTCTGACATGTGTGAAAAACACAGCAGGCTTTGTTTCTGCTGTTGAGAAAAGAGTCAAAGTCAAAATCCCCTTGCCTCTAAATCCGGGGATAATAAAAGTATTTCTAATAACAGCATTTTATATGGACCTCATTATTAAAGTCATTTAATGAACTGCTTGCAACACTTAATGGAGACTAACTTTGGCAAGTAATTATTCATTCACTGTCAAATGCAACAAACCTTTTTGCAGTATATATGACTTGACGTCAGGATTAACATGTAAATCCAGTTTTGAATTCTGAGGCCAGCCAGAATTGATCTGTGGTCCAAATCTTTACACCAGGAAGTCTTTTTGAAAAAAGGATTTTTCAATCACTTCTTAATGAGAACTATTTGATGTAAGGGAGACCAGTCATCTTCATCAAGAAAACTGGGGCAGAGAAAGGCCCCAGGATATAATGATGGTACTCTGCTGTCTGGTGGCAAGGCGTGGTTAAAACAGGGAATGGAAAGGTGCAAGATGGGTGCGCTTGGTGGGTGGGCAAGGAGGAAGCTTTGAAAGCACAAACACATATACTCAGGGACTCACGGGGTTCAACTGCACAATGGTCAAGAAAAGACATCTGAGATATTTATGGAGAGGGAAAGAAAAAAGAAACCTTTCTGAATAAGCAGCTAAGAGCCTACAGGTGAGACTTTAGAATGTCAGGCCAGTGATGGCTCCCCATGACAAGTACCATCTTTTCAAGGCTTTTAAAGATCATGGGTGGTCAATGAAGTTCACTTTCCTGAGTTATTTAATAAAATCAAGGCCCCCAGTGTGTCTATGAGTTCTGCTCTCTAAGGACACACCAGGCTGATGGAAATACACTCTCCTACACTTTTATGGTTCTTTAAAGTTCACAATGCTTTTTTATCTATATGATTTTATTTGATAAGAGCTTCTGTCCTTCGTGGGTATAGACGAGAAGAGTTGCAGACCTATGAAATATTTTGCTTATGTTCCTGATGTGTAAAAAACAAAGACAGAAAGAAATCACCTGAAATGTTTGTCCATGTTCAGCTATGTATTTTTAAATGCCCTATTGCCTTTTATATTTCTTTTCAAATAAGCATGAACACGATACTTGGGGTGGAAAATTATTTGTTGTTAAAGAAATCAAAACAGAGCTTAAGCATGTATTTTTATTCCATATTTTGATTATTTTTTCTTGACACAATTCTATTCTGGTGTTTTGTTTGCTTTGCCCAGAAGGCAAATGCACCATTAAGTTTATTCAGCCTGAATTAATTATCTTTTTATAGTAAAAGAAAATCTTCTCCTTGTGACAAAATGTTTGTGCTGTATTTATGAATAAATAAAGGCAGCTGTTATTCACAGCATTATTAATAGCATCACTTTAAATATCTCATGTGACAAGAAATCCACTCTCTTCAATATAACAAAAGCTCTTGGTGTCCTAGAGTTTATGAAAACCATAGACCTGTTATCCACATTGCAGCGTCAGAAAAACATCACACTTTCTGTAGCAGAAGGATTTAATGCAAATTACAGACATAAGGCAGTACTCCTGTAAATGGTTATTGTCTTTGCTGGTCATTTGGCTCTGTCTTGAGTGCTTTACAGGTGAAGCTCTGGAGAGGAACAAAACACCTCTCCTCCCAAACAGAAAGTTAACAGGCAACCACAGACTTTGTCTAAATGGCCACAATGATGCTATTCCCTGCTTTTCAGTTGAATGTCTTTTTGATGAGTGATATGGCCAATGCAGAAGGGATTACTTTTTTTCCTTTGGTAAGATAGGGTAGGTGTGCTAAGCAGAGAAACCCTTTCCCCTTACAGAGAGCTCTTCTGAA